TCAAGAGTATTGTCTATGAGTTCTGTGTGGCCATTGCAACAAATTATCGAATGCAGAAAGAAGTAAAGAATGTAGTTGGGGGAACAGTTGGTGTTAGCATTTGTAAAATTGTTGGGGGGTAGTGGCATATCTGACCTCCACCTCCTAGAAATCAGCCTTGAACTATTGATGTTGATTTTGATCTTCCTCCCCACTTATGAAATTAGAGAAGTTGGGCTGATGTCACCCCAAGCCATTGTTTTGCACTAACACATAATCTTATTCACTGAAGCACTATCTCATTCATATTTTGTCCTGCAGTGCCTTGGCATATAGAACTACTCCATGCTTATTTGCAGAACTGAATTAAATTGAAATTATTAATGTGCTTGTTTTCAGCACCACTCCTCAAGTTCCATCCCATCTCTGCTCCCAAATGAGAACTCCTTAAGGGCAGAGATAATATCTTAAGGGCAGAGACCATTTATCTGTGACCTCAATGGCTAGCACAGCAGAAACTTAATACCATTGGAAGGTAAAAACAAAGAGAAAGGGGGAAGTAAAGAAGATAACAAGATGGGTTGATACGGTGGCTGCAATGATGAGCTCAAGTATAGCAGGGATTGTGGGGCTGGCGCGCGATAGGGCAGTGTTTCGTTCTGCTGTGCATGGGGTCGCTATAAGTCGGAAACGACTCAACGGCACTTAACAACAACAACAAAGAAGAAGAGGAAGAGGAGTTTTAAAAGGAGAGAGGAAGTGATTTATGAGGTTCATGTTTCTACTCCAGGAGAAGACAGTGAATTAAAACTCCTTTTTTTCCAAGATCATTATTGATTATCTCAATTTGAAAAAGATAATGAGACCATGAGAATAAAATGCAGCATTGATCAACATACAGAAAATCTAGCGAAATTCAAGAGTTATTATTCCTATTTGTGTCAGTCAAAACCGTATGGAAACCACAGACATAATGTGTCACTATGGTAGTACTATATCACTGTCTATGGCCACAGCAGAAATTGAGAGTCCTCTATGTTAGGAAGTCAATGGCATAGCATAGGGAGAAGGAGACACAGCAGATGAAAAGTGAGCAGAGTGAGACTGCTCAGCAGGAAACCCCCCAAAAACCAGACTCACTGCCATCAAGTCAGATCCAACTCATAGCCACCCCTCCTTGGGTTTCTGAGCCAGTATCTCTATGGAAGTAGATGGCAGCAATCTTCCTTATGAGGAGTGATTGGTCGGTTAGAACCACCAGCCTCCTGGTTAGCTGCCAAATGCCTTAGACACTATGCCACCAGAGCTCACTAAAGGAGGCTTGAAAGTTCTCTCCTAATGGCTGAAGGGGGGCAGTGCCCTATGAATATATTAAACACTGCTCCCCATATAAAAGAATCAATATTGGAAATGCACTGAGATCTTCTGGTTATAGTCACATAAGGAAAAGGGGCTTGGAGCAGAATAATGAAGGAGGGAGAGGAAGAAATGGAGAATTTTTAAAAAAGAAAATAAAAATAACTAAACAATGCCAAAAGTCCTGATGCAAAGGGCACCCACCTGTAACACACTATGAATAGTAAACAAAATAAAGCAAATAACCAAAACCAAAACCAAACTCACTGCCATTGAGTCGATTGCAACTCATCATTACCTCTCCTTGGGTTTCAGAGGCAGTATCTCTACAGAAGTAGATTGCCCAGTCTTCCTTCCAAGGAGTGGCTGGTGGGTTTGAACCGCCAGCCTTCTGGTTAGAAGTCAAATGCCTTAGGCACTATGCTACCAGAGCTCCCCAAACAAATAACAAATGTAAAATTTACTAAATATTTCTGTATCTATTAAAGCAGTGATAAGATATGATCCCAAAATTCTGACCTTCCTATTGACAGAAATTATTTTTTTTGGATTTTTTTTTTTTTTTTTTACTTGTTTTTCTCCACAGCCCTACCCATCCCTTCAGATCACAAGTGATGCACCCCCTCTGTATCACTTCAGGCAGCCAGAGAATCTTAAAGTAACCTATGGTAGTCATCTATTTGCAAACAATACAGCCCAACTGGAAATGCCATCATTTTAACCTGGATTAGAATGAAATCTAATGGCAGATAAAGGAAAATGTAGTGCAGGGCTCCTGGGAATTTGGGTCTGATGTGGTGTGATAGATTTCTTTGTCATCTCGAGTTCCTGTAACTCCATGAGACTACCCATGTCTGGGTAATTTGTGCTTGTCAAAGAGAGCAGGCAAGTCTAATAGATAACTCAGTACAGAAAGAAACTCTAGGCAGCATTTCAAGATTTCACCAAGAGGATAAATTCTACCGAAAGCTAAGACATAATATAAAATAAACTGCCTTTTGTGATTACCTTCATGTTGAACTTCACCCACACTTTCAACTGTGTTTCAATGCAGATAATAAAACCTGATTAATCAAGATATTGTTCAGCTGGAGTTTGTAAAATTTAGGGCAAAGCATGATCTCCATCTGCTTTCACTGACCAGACATAATTTTAATCAAATAAATAAATCGGGTAAACAAGATTCCAGGAGGGATATATGAAGAAGTAGACAAAGTATAATCTATAAATTAAATCTCATCAGTCTTCACTCATTTATACTTTTCATTCATCATTCATGCAGTACTCATGACATAAGATATGTTCTTAATTCATTTAGAACTGTCATAATTTCAAAAAGAATAAAACTGAATTATCTTATAAAGGACTATATTTTAATTTTTCACTAATTCATGTAGTCTTTCTTTCTAATAATCTAAAGCATCAACAGAGACCTAAAATCATATCAAGTCCGTCTGCTTATACACACAACTTCAAAAATCCAACTTTAAAAAATATAGTCAGGCAATGTCAAATATTTCTATATTTAAAAGCATGATTATTTTGAAGATTTCTGAAGACAATACAATAAGTAGTCAGTGATGTTGAGCCATCATATATGAAGTTCTAACCTTAGACCTAAAGAAAGTATTAAACAATGTTTTGCTGACTAAATTAAAATCAACAACTCATTCTTTATCACATGGCTTACCTTTTCTGGAGGGAAATTCCATCTTCTTATTCTCAAAGTCTGGCCCCTGGGGCAAGTATGTAGTTAGAATAAAGATTTAAAAAGACTTATGTGACTCATCTGAGCTATATGTCAAGGAGTCCTGTGAGTAGTGCAAATGGCTAAGTGCTAAATTACTGACCAAAATGTCAGTGATTCAAATCCATCCAGAGGCACCTCAGAAGTAAGATCTGGAGATCTACTTCCAAAGGTCACATTCATGAACACTCTATGGAACAGTTCTATTTTGCACACAGGGGATCACCATGAGTTGGAATCAACTCAAAGGCAGCTACACAAAAGAAAATGCCAATAATAATAATTAATATAATCTGTCTTCTTATGGAATTTAGGGGTAAGATCAAAGAAATAGACCTGATTAAGTCTAGAATACTCATCTACAATCTAACTTTCATCGATCATCTACCTTTCTCAGTCTGATCATGTTGTTGTTGTTGTTATGTGCCGTCGAGTTGGACTCAACTCATAGCCACCCCTCCTTGAGTTTCCAAGGCAGTATCACTACACAAGTTGATTGCCCCATCTTCCTTCTGAGATACACACATCAAAACATTTCCCAGACCATTCTCATGAAGTAGGTCTTCTCTCAAGGTCACACTGTGGTCCAGTCCAAATTTGGACTCTTGGGCACATCATTGGTTAAACCCACGGTGTTCTAAAGGAGCAAACCCAGCCTTCCAAACTGGCATTAGAAGTAACTTTAAGGGTCTTTAAGGTTGGAAGGTATTTATGGGTCATTCTAGACTAGAGAAAGACCTTGAAGACTGTTGGTCTCCTTTACCATTGTTGATGGTATAGACTGAGGGAGAGGTCTAGTCTCCCAGGGTGAAAGTTGCTCTGGTGAAATTTCTATTACAGTTCTGCACTGATTACATGCACAATAATAGTGGAAATATTCTTTAAAAGTCACAGCTTCAACTAGAAGAGAATCCAGTACTTTTCCGTAATCACAGTCAACATTCAATTATTCTTGTTTATGGTAGAAAGTAATGTCTTCAATAATAAAATGATAATTTCTGTTTGACTTCACAATATGTTCTATATTTGGGGTTTTCCTTTTGTTTTTGGCAGCACCAACAGACTTATTCTCCTAATTATGTTTGAACCTGACTAATGCTACAATTAACATTCACTGAGCATTCACACATACACACACACTACACACCAATTGATGGTGGAGAGAATACCCAGTAACATATTGTAAAATAGAGAAAGGTGGTCTGAGATTATGTTTTCACTGTTGGCAATTCACAAACTAGATAGTTTGGATCAATGGAGAGTTGGCTATGTTTATACTACTCATTCCCTGTAGCCAAATAATCATATTAACTAATTCCCATCCCTAAAATAAAGGTAGACTCAGTAATTACTCATGAAGCTGAATCTGTCTAACACATCATTTAAGCAACAACAAATAAACTGAGATTACCTAGTTTGACTGTATATATCAATTAATTAACAAGGTAATAGCCAGATTGCTCTGGCACTGGCGGCTGCCTCACAGACCTGCCGGCCGTCTTTCTTAGGTTTGGAGACATTTGGAAATGTAACTTTAGCTCTTAGTTCCATCATTTTCAGGAATTAAGCACAGCTTCTTCTGTTTTCAGAGTCCCCGGGTGGGGCAAACAGTTAAACTTTTCAGTTGCTAACTTAAATGTTGGAGGTTCAAGTCTACCCAGAGGTCCTTTGAAAGAAAAATCTGATGATCTACTTCTAAAAAATCAGCCATTGAAAACCCTGTAGAGCACAGTTCTACTCTGGCACGCATGGGGTCACCCTAAGCCGGCATGGTCTCAATGGCAAATGTTTTTCCCTGACTTCCTGGAAACACTTTCTAGACTTTTTCCCTCTCACTGCATAGTGCATAGGCCCTAGTGTCTGAACAGACCTGTGTCCCCCACCCACCCAATGCATATGACCCTGGGTATCCGCTCACCTATCTTCTCTTCGGCTTGGCTACTCTCTGCAGTCTCCGTTGGAGGCTGAGCTGTTGCCTTGGCAGCAGCATCCTCTGCAGCAGGGGTGGTGGCAGCAGCAGCAGCAGCAGCAGCAGGCACATCGGCTTGTTTAGGCTCCTCCTTGGCTGGGGCGCCTTCGGCCTTGGAGGACGGCAAGTTATCAGTGGAAGCTTTAGTGGAACTTTCTGTCTTAGCAGAGCCGGCCTTCTCCTCTGAGGGGGCAGTAGCCTGAGAAGCTGCCTGCTCTGCAGCAGGATCAGGGGTGCCCTCCCCCTTCTTCTCCTCAGAAGGAGCTTCTCCTGCTTTGCCGGTCTCCTCAGGCTTGGGACCAGTGGTTGGGGCCGCATCAGCGGTAGCAGCGCCATCTCCTTCCTTCTTTTCCACCCCATCAGCAACAGGGACTTCATCCTTCTTTTCATTCACTTCAGCCTCAGCAGCTTGGGCATCACCCTTCTTCTCTCCTTTGAGCTTTTTCCTTGTTATATGTCCACGGAAGCTAGCCTGAATTTTGGTGGCGGCCTTGTGAGCCTTATCTTCTGGTTTGATGCCATCTTGTTCAATCTTTTGGTCCTCATCATTTTTTTCCACCTTTGTGAGAAAAAGCAGGAAATAAAAGGAGAAATGAAGTGATGCTATTTCCCTTCAAATCACAGGGTTCAACAAACACTTATTGAGTGATTTTCTCTGTGCCAGGCACTGTGCTTGGAGCTGGGAAATCAAGAATACATAGGAAGTTCAAATCAAGTCTCCACTCTCTCAACATTAGAGAATTAGGTGAAAAACACATTACTTTTTAGCCTTCCAGAATCACTGGCATCATTTTATATGTGTTTCCTTTCCCCAGTTCAATGACTCCTCATTGCCAAATTTTTACCAGCATTTTTAAAAACAATGTACCCTGATAATTTAAATCATATTTGTCCTAGGTTTTAATAAAAGACTCCTAAAAGATACTGGTTTTCAGGGTCTCTGTCAAGGACTCTGTAAATTATTATGATTTTTAAAAATGTATGGACAACTTTATTCCCCACCACCCCCTCAAGATTTTAAGCTTGATCAGGAAACCAATAGATTAGATTTAAAGGTTTAAGCAAAGAAACCCTTCAGAGTATTATTCCAACTGTAAATATATTCCAGAGTTTTAAAGGATTTGTCCAGAATGTGAAAACTCAGAATACAGGTCACAAAATGACACATTCCTCCTGCCTTGTGTAGTCCAATATCAATAATAAGCATACCAGATCTTTGAGATTCGGGGAAATAAAAAGTAGCCATTATTCTTAAATTAATGAAAAATAACTCTTTCCATATTAGGAAGAGTGGCATATATTTACTACATCACAATGTTTTACTCCTAAGCAATTTAAACCTAAAATTAGATTTATATTATCATCAACAGAGTTGTCCTAGTACTGAAGGAAGTGACTAGAAGGCAAAATTTTTACCTTAAAGCATTATATGTGCTGCAAATGCCAATTTTCCACATGGAAATTATATCAGAGGATAGGAAGAGAAGACGTAGTCATGGAAAAAAGTTTATAGCAAAGTATTACAACATTCTACATGGCTCTGTTGTTTACCAAGGTGTCTCAGTGTAGGTACAGATAATTTCCACTCATTATTTCATTTAACTTTTGAGCACCTACACTCTGTAAAGTACATCAATGAACAACACAGTCCTGGCCCTCTTGCAGTTTCATTTCAACAAACTTTCTCTTAAAGACAAATAATAAAAGAGTGCTTATCACGTATCAAGTCTGGTGCTTGACCCACTCTTAGCTTTGAAATTTGCTCCAGTTTAGGAGGTAGGCCACGGCAGGTCAGCACATTAATCTATTTTCCCCTGTCATATCAGCTTTGACCCAGTAATCCAGATCCTGGTAGTCATGATGGGGGCCTGTATGACATTCTGTAGACAAATACACAGATGATTGCAGTTAAGATCTATCCACATGCTGGTGGATATAAGAAGGTATTTGTGCAAGCAAACTGCAGATGAGAGTAAAAGCAGGAATAACATTTTTCTCAGTAAAATTCAAGACAAGTATTTCTTCTTCCTCAGTTAACTGTGGGCTATCCATACAAAGAAGGAACAAGTAAACGAAGAGCATGTTGATGAGTCCTGTCTCACTCCCTCCTCCCAAGTGTCGTGCTGTGACACTGCTCTGCTCTCTGATGCACTACCACCTTGCCCTCTATCCTGCTGCTCTTGATGTCTCCTACTGGGATGTACACAGCACAATCTGGGCCACCAGAGCAGCTGTCCCTGCCAGGAGCTCTCTGCTCAGAGATGGAAGCATAACCCTGTTAAATTAACAGTTGTGAATGGAGCATAGAGCCAAGATGCTGTTAATTCATTTTACTCAATCTTAGGTTTTCTGAATGGGACACCATCTTGTATGATAGGACAGTTGTACATGGCCATTGATGCCAAATGGATCTTTAATACAAAGGTGTAAAAGGCTAGATTAGCATCCACCACTTCTTATGTAAATAAACATACCAATGATTTCAGAGTGGGAAGGTTTGCAGATAAGACCCTCTAGTGACTCAACAAAACCCCAATTTTAGAGTCCTATTTTTTCTTTGCATTAGGCAAATCTGCTGCAAAAGACCTCTTTAAAGTACTGAAGAGCAAAGATGTCACTTTGAAAACTAAGGTGCACCTGATCCAAGCCATAATATTTTCAATTGCCTCATATGGAAGTGAAAGTTAGACAATGAATAAGGAAGACTGAAGATTTGATAAATTTGAATTTTGGTGTTGGTGAGGAATACTGGATATACCATGGGTGAGCTCTGGTAGCATAGTGCCTAAGGCATTTGACTGCTAATCAGAAGGCTGGCAGTTCAAAACCACTAGCCACTCCTCAGAAGGAAGGTTGGACAATCTACTTCCATAGTGATACTGCCTCAGAAACCCAAGGAGGGGTCGCTATGAGTTGGAGCCGACTCAATGGCACACAACAACAACAACAACATGGACTGCCAGAAGAACATACAAATCTGTCTTGGAAGAAGTATAGCCAGAATGTTCCTTAGAAGCAAGAATGGCCAGACTTCATCTCACGTACTTTGGTCATGTTGTCAGAGGGGACTAGTCCCTGGAGAAGAATATTATGCTTGGTAAAGTAGAGGGTAGGAGCTCTGGTGGCATAGTGCCTAAGGCACTTGACTGCTAACCAGAAGGCTGGCAGTTCAAACCCACCAGCCACT